TCAAAGTATTAAGATATATGAAGATGATAGTTTTACATATTTTAGCAAGTAGTAGCAACATCAACATATGCTCTTGGACAATCAATCAATTTGAGGAGACACGAGTGTTAAAAGTTTGAGCCTACAACTATTAAGAATTAGCCAGCTTTGCTCCCTATCATCTGTTTACATTCAAACGTAACATCTATGCTTATAGATATTAAGGCACTACTACACAAACTTTACTGGAGGCGGACGTTTTCGGTTTTTCGCGGCGGGCAAAGCCGTCCGCCGCGGCCTAGAGGCCACGGTAAATCGTGGCTTAACCGCGGCGAGCGGCCTTGCCCGCCGCGGTTAATCGATTTACCGCGGCGGACGGTGTAACGTGCCCGCCGTGGTAAATATACTTTTACCACGGCGGGCATGTTAGGATGCCCGCTGCGGTTAATCATTTAAAAAAACAAAAAAAACCAGGAGCCCACCGGTGAGCCTGTTCTCGAGCCCACTGGCGAGCCCACCGGCGACGGATCCGGGCATCCCATGGCCGCAGATCCGTGCCGCTCGAGGAGGGAGAAGAGGAGCAGCCGGCCGGGCCCCAGCGTCTCTGGAGAAGCCGGCTGGACACGCCGACGCCACTGCAGGGCCGCCACCACCTCGCCAGTCGCTCGCAGGGGACCAGGCCGACGCCTCCTCACGGATCCCCGTGCCTCCTCGCGGATCCCGCCACGCCGTGGTGGAGGGAGGCCACACGCCGATGCGTCCTCGCCCGTTGTGGTGGAGGTCCCAGCGTCGTGGCCGTGGTGGAGATCCACTGCCGGATCCGGTTGCTCCACCGCCAGATCCACGGAGGAGGAGGGTGCAGTCGCCAGATCCGTGGGGGAGGAGGTCGCCGCCGCTAGATCCGTGGAGGAAGAGGTCATCGTCGCCGGATCTGGAGAGAGGAAGAGGGAGGAGTGAGGGAGATGGAGAGAGGAAGAGGGAGATGGAGAGGAAGAGGGAGATGAACTCACTAGATTTGAAACCCTAGCCCCGCGCCGTCGTCGTTCATGGAGGATCCGTGGGGGAGGAGGAGGGCGCAGCCGTCGCTGTCGCCCCGCGCGCCATCAATCCGCCATCTGGAGGCCTCGCGTGCCCTTGGAGGAGGCCACTGCCTGCATCGAGGGAGAGTCGAGGGAGAGTAAAGGGAGGCAGAGGGAGAGTGGGGGAGGCGGAGAGCTGAGAGAGAGAGTGGGTGAGGCGGGGAGCTGAGAGAGAGAGAGTGGGGGAGGCGGCGACGATGGTGCGAGGGATGTGGGTGATGTGTTTCCGTGAATCGATTTACCTTGGCGGACATTTTAGGATGCCCGCCACGGTAAATCGATTTACCGTGGCAGACGCCTTAAGATGTCCGCCGCGGAAAATAGGGTATTTACCGTGGCGGACATTTTAGGATGCCCGCCACGGTAAATCGATTTACCGTGGCGGACGTCTTAAGACGTCCGCCGTGGAAAATAGGGTATTTTCCGTGGCGGACATCTTAAGACGTCCGCCACGGTAAATTGATTTACTGTGGCGGGCAAAAATGCCTGCCGTGGTAAATAAAAAATGTCCGCCTAGGTAAACCGTGGCATTTACCGTGACGGGCAAAAATAGGTGCCAGCCTCGGTGGCCTCCGGGGGGTGTCGCGCAAAATTATTTGTGTAGTAGTGAGGATTCATGTTGTCCTGGTAAAAAAAACTCAATCCGCGGTGGCTAGATAGCCCCGGGTGTTCCGGTTTAAGAAGAAGATTTTCTCATGCGGATTAAGAAAACCCCTGAACCCCTGCTCCACCCTTACACAGCGGTACCGCAGCTCCATGAGATGAGTTGACCATTGAATCTAGAACGAGGGAGTTTTTTTCCCCTCCAGTCGTTGGCTGATGCCACGAGAGTGAGTCCTCAGGACTCGAACTCTGACTAGCCCGAAGGGGAGGTGCTGAACCTGCACTGGCCACTCGGTCAGATTTTAATTTTCAGTTGTTATGAATGATTGCTAATGTGTACAAATCTCTTACAGAGGATGGATTAAAAAAATTTCTTTTTTCTAACAAAATATGAAAATTAATATATGCTTATCGCTCTCTGCATGCACGCATATGTGGAATGTGTAGTGTCAAGAATCATGCATGCTTTGAGTTAGTTTTTTATTTACTTATAATAGTAGAAGTAAGTAGCTAGAATCATATATGGAGTAATCTATGTTATTTTTAATAATAATCAGCCTGTTCGCTTGCTCGTAAACGATCGGAAATTTTCAGCCAGGAACAGTGTTTTTCTCTCACACAAAACCAGCCAGCAGTAAATAATCCACGATACGATACGGCCTCCCGAACAGGCTGAATGGAGGTAGATAATTTAGATGGAGAACTTTAGAGGGTTATTTGAAGTTATTTAATAATTGCGGAGGAAGTAGGCAGTTTAGATGCAATTTTATAGAATCTTTTATATTATTTTAATAATGATATAGATGAATAATTTAGATACCAATTTAGATGCAAGTGGTACGTAATTTGGATGTAGACTTAAAGGTTATTTTAGGTTTAGTTTCATAATGAGAGATGTAGATAATTTAGAAGCATACTAGATCCAATGTCTATTATTTCTGATATTGATTAGAGTCTAAATGTGTGTTTCTCTCCTTTTACACTTTCTGGGATTCATATATTTTTTCCCCTTGGCACCTCACGTGAGGATTAACTTTGAAGCAGAAAAAGGAGTCTCTAGTAATAGTATGATATTCGCATAGGGGCATTGATTTTGAAAGAAACCTTTCATATGGACTAGTTTGAAATATCTATTGTATTTTATTAATCCAAAATCCAAAATATGGTATAAGTGTGACTGTAGCCTTAGGCCCTTAGCTTAGCGCATCCGAAATGTATAGTAGACATAGAGAGACCTTAGGGACAATGACATGGCTCCACACTACTCATGCATTTTGACGCTCAAGCTCGTTCACGTCGCTGCACGCATGTGGGCTCACATTTTATCTTTTTTAAGAAAAAAAGAAACTGATAATTGGCGGGGGAACAATAGTCATATTTAAATTGAGTCAATCTCTTGCCAATTTCGCATAAAGAATTGATACTTTATTCTACTAGCATTTTATAGACCTTGAAATTTATTTCATTCAAGGTAGGGTCAAGCTCAATTAAAACAAAAAAAATAGCTAACTTATTATCATTGGTATAAGCACCTGCACATAAGTTATGTGTCCCGTTACAACACACGGATATGTCTATCTATCTATCTATCTATCTATCTATCTATCTATCTATTTTAATAGTAAAGAGTAAAAATTTCTTGCGTTTCTCACTTTCTCCCCCTCCGTTCCTCTCTCTCTCTCTCTCACTCTTCTTGCTTTGATTTTTAGAGCTGCAAATTTTCGTCAACACCACACCACTCATGTCACCCACCACCCAAGTTCATTCATGTCATGACGCACATGTGGTAAAAGGTGATATCCGAATCCGATTTGATGCGAACCCAATCCATTTCCATCCCTACCCCTCACGTGTCCTTTCCCTGTGGCTCCTATCAACATCCGCTGCGGCGACGACAGCGAGAACAAGCCGTGCCGGAGGGCGGACTGGCGGAGGCGCGTGTGATTCAGATTCTGGTGGGGGTGGGCTGAGCAGAAACAAGCGGATAGCGCCAAGCGCCGTGGCATCACCCCGATGGCCGACACATCCCGGTGCCTTGACGGTTGCTGCGGCGGCATTGCCCAGTCGCATACTGGCGTCCTCCGCAGCCAGTGGGCACCGACTACGCCTCTGCGCGGGAGTCGTAGCCTTCGCCTTGTTCTATCCATGCGTGGGGGTTGAGGTGAACTTTTTTTAATCCTTCAGGCAGATCCTCGAGTTGTCTGGTGATTTTTTTGCTACAGCCATCATCTATTGCGTATGTGGTTGCCTCTAGGAGTTAGGCCCCCTTTGGTAGAGCTTTAGCACTGGAAAAAGTGAATATGGATCTGAGATTCAGCTGAATCCACTTGTGGAGCAGGGATTGTCAAAGTGTTTGATACAGCTCCACCTCCATCTCTGTTGCACTTCCATCTAGACCCCACGCCGTTAGGGGCATAATGAAAAATGCAAAACAAAACATGGTATTTTCTTCTTCGTCTGACCTCGCACGTCCTCGACCAGGGGCGGAGCTCGTGGACGCTGCCGGCACTTGTGGCCAGGCGCGGCTTTGGGGGTGGTGTAGCTGCTAGCTGGGGGCGGGCGCGCGTCTAGCCGAGGGTGAGGTCGCGGGCAATGGTGTCGAGCGATGGGGAAGATGGAAAAGAATAGAAGGACGGGGAAGAAGACGGGAAAGAATAGAACAAACTGTTTTTTTTTCTGTGTAATCCACGACATGATGGGTAATTTTGTTAAACTCCACCAAACTTGAATTTGGTGGAGCACCCATTGTGGTGCGCCACCAATTTGGTGAATCGGGAGCAGATCCACCGTTTTGGTGGAGTAGATCCAAGGTGGAGCCGGTGGAGCTAGAACCATTTTGCAAGAAAAATTGAATCTAGAACTATTTTTCATGAATTTGGAGCTGGTGGAGCTCTGGCAAAGAGACCCTTAAAACCTCCTTATTTATCAAATAGACACACCATTTTAATGAACTCGTGGTTCTTTTTTTTTTGGACCACATAATATTAGTGGTCTTACAGGTATAGCGTCAGTGTGTCCCGTTGCTGGACGTGGTCATCACATCGTATATATACTAACTAGTTCATTTTTATGTCCGGGCATAATAAATATTTTTTTGGGAATTGCCAACATATTATTCAAATTCCTAGAAGCATATTGACCTTATATCTGGTGGAATATATTACAAGAGAAAGAAAAATTATATTCAAAATAAATGGGGTGCATACTTATTTATCCTTTTTGTTGTAGGTTCATCAGCGATGAGCTGACGGGGCACGTGAGAACATTGGGGTGCTAAAGGCGTATTCGGAGCTGATCCGCGACTTGGCCTATGACATTGAGGACAGCCTAGAGGAGTTCATGGTCTTCGTCAAGCACAAGAGCCTCCGGCAGCAACTTCTCAGCTTGCTAGAGCGCCATCGCATTGCTGTCCAGATAAAGACTCGCAAACTAAGAGTCCAGGAGGTGAGCCAAAGTAATAAGAGGTACAGTGCCATCAATCTCACACCATCCACCTCCAGTAATGTGATAGGTGACACAGAGTTCACCCGGAATTTCGCGGCTTTAAATGTTGAGGAATCCCAGCTTGTTGGTTTGGATGAGCCGAAGAAGAAACTGATGGAATTAATAGGCAAATTGAAGGAACCCAAGGAACATGAAACCTCCAATGCTGGTCCAAGAGTGGTATCCCTTGTTGGGATGGGCGGCCTCGGCAAGACAGCTCTCGCCAAGAAGGTGTTTGATAGCAAGGATCTTAGTGACATGTTTGGCACCCGTGCTTGGACCACAGTGTCACAGTCGTTTGACCAAAAGGAGATTTTTAAGGAGATGGTGAAGCAACTCTTTGGAGCTGAGTCATTGAACAGGCTCTTCAAAGATCAACAAGGGCAGGAAGGACTGGAAGTACATCTTGCTGACTACATATCCAAAAGACTTCAGGAAACAAGGTACCTTATTGTTTTGGATGATGTTTGGACCATTGATGCATGGAACCTCATTAAGGTTACTTTCCAATATAGTGGTAAGAATGATAGTTGTGTGGTAGTGACTACAAGGAATCATACATTAGCTGAATACTGTATTAGTCACCCATCGCACATCCACCAACCTGAATTCCTAGGGAAAGAAGAGGCTAGAACCTTGTTTCTAAAAAAGACAAAGAGAAGTTTTGATGACCTAGAGAAAGGTGACAAAACCAAAGGAATAGTTGAAAAAATACTGAACAAATGTGGTGGACTCCCACTTGCCATTCTGACAATTGGAGCCCTACTTGCCAATAAAGACACAGAGGAGTGGGAGAGTATATACAAGCAACTCCCCTCGGATCTTGCAACTAATCCAAGCCTTGATGCTCTAAGGCGAGTGGTTAGCCTTAGTTACAGCCACTTGCCTTCGCATCTAAAGCCTTGCTTTTTGCATCTCAGTATCTTTCCTGAAGATTTGGAGATTGAAAGAAAACACCTAGTGAATAGGTGGGTAGCTGAAGGGTTGGTAGCAGATGACACAACTACAAGAACCCTTGAAGAAGTTGCTGACAATTACTTCTATGAGCTCATCAGCCGGTGCATGATTCAACCATCTAAGTTAGATAATATGGGGAAGGTGAAAACATGCAGAATTCATGACATTGTGCATGATATTGCGGTGTCAATCTCTAAGCAGGAGAACTATGCATTCATACATGGAGAACACACCTCCAACATAGCAACAAGAGTTGGTATCCGGCATCTGTCATGTGTTGCTTGCAGGAAACTGAACATTGCCATGGATTTAAGCTGTGTCCGGTCTTTAACTGTGTTCAGTGAGCCTCCGGAGCTAGCATCCTTACTTTGCTCATCCAAATTCAAGATGTTGAGGATTCTGGATTTAAAACATGCTCAATTTGCGGCACGCCAACAAGATATAAAATACATAGGGTTGTTGCTACACTTGAAGTACTTGCATTATCCAAAGTCTCCAAATAATATTTATGCACTTCCAAAGTCTATAGGTAATCTGCAAGGTTTGCTGACTCTAGACCTACAAAAGTCAAAAGTTTCGACCCTACCAATAGAAATCACTAAGCTCCGTAACCTCCGCAGCCTTCGATGTAGCAAGGAACATGGTTATTTTTATTTCCGTAAAGCTAGACCCATGGAATGGTTCAACGATGCCATGTATTATTTAGGGAGTGATACTGTTGCAACTGCTGACCTGCACATGGCTTTGTCTAGCTGTTGGTCCTATTCATCTGGCATTAAGTTACCTAGAGGAGTGGGAAAACTAAAAGAGCTACAGATGCTAGAGAGAGTGGATATCAAGCGAACAAGTCAGAAAGCAATCAAGGAGCTAGGGGAACTAAGTTAGTTTAATTTCACTTCAATTCACTTCAACACATGTGGATTGAGATGAATACATATACATCGAACAATGAACAATGTCTTAAGTGGGTGAGCCAACTCATAAACCAGGATAGACGTGAGTGGAGGAGAACTGATTTGGTCCTGGACCTGTTCAGGCCTCATGATGCAGATCAAATTCTAAGCTGAAGATCCCGATGAGCCATCAGATGATTTTTTAGCCAGGCATTATGAGAAGCATATGGGTTATATATATTCAGTTCGAAGTGCATATAGGCCAGCACTGGCATTACAGCACCAGGAAGAGCAAGGGGCCCGACAATCTTCCTCATCTTTGCAAGGGTCTCGACCTGGGTGGAAAATGTTCTGGCGCATCCAACCATGAGCTTGCACAGCTGTAACAGAGTTATCTACAAAAGGACAGAGTGTAACAGGGGCAGGGCAGCACAATCATGAGCTTGCACAGCTGGCGAAAAGGACAAGGCATTCAACCATCTTGTGTTTTAATTCTCCAGCTTGTATATAGCATATTTTTGACCGAAGCTTGTGTATAGCATATTACTGCGCACGATTGTAATTTTATTTCTGAGCAGTATTAAAAGGCTCTCTTTGTCGCAAAAAACAAAACAAAACAAAACATACCTCTTGTCTAAAGTTCTACCACTAATTTTTTTTACAACAATTCAGCCCATCTTAAACTCACAAGTTATTTCTAAAAAAAAATCAAGTTTGTATTTCGTAAACTTATTAGCAAGATCAAACAAGAGCAACCCTCCAAGCTTAGCCCTAATAAATAAATAAATAAAAAGAAGGCAAAATAAGCCAAGATCAACAAAGCTTAACCACATGATTAGGGGGCTAATGACGCTGCTCCTTTCCTACTAGTTGTCCTATCAAAGCTTAACCATGTGAACTGATTCTTTTAGTTTACAGGACTTTTGTCTGTTTCCTCTTTATTAATGTCTTTTACCTCTCCTGTCCATGTGACCTACCCGTTTCGCCCTCGATAACACAATTAACAATTTGCAGACCATTGTACAGTAAATAGGTCACCAACGCAAAACCGTCCCTCTCCAACAGCCGCCCGCGCCTGCCCAAAATATCTCATCGCCTCCTCCATCTCTCTATCCGTCTCTCTCTCCCTCACTCCTCGTCCCAACCCCCGCGCCTCCGCCCGCACCGTGGCTCCCGTCCACGCCCCCTCCCCTCCCGCCTCCCCTTTCTCTCTCCCCGCCTCCCTCGGCGTGGCAGCGCGGCGGGCGGGCTGGAGCGCCACCTGCTCCTCACGCTGCGCGCAAGCCGTACGCCGGCGGCGGAGGCGGGGAGGACAACGCGAGCTGGGTGGAGCCGGACCCTGACGACCTTCTCTTCCCTGGTCGCGACGCTGCTCATCACTGGCGGCGCTGCTCATCACCGGCAGCGGGGGAGCGGTCCCAGATCCGGCGAGGCAACCAAGGCCGGTAGCTCCGGAGCTGCTCCCACGGCGAGCTCGCCTCGCCGAGCCGGCCACGCCCCGCCGCGGTCCCGCCTGGCACCCACCTCTGCTCCACCCCGACGCCTCCTACGGGCCCACCACTACGGGCGCCGAAGACTTTGCGTCTTGGAGAAAGACGACGCAAATAAGCCTCTCGGTTTGCCTCGTACCCAAAATGCATGCTCCATTTGCGTCTTCCGTTGGAGTCGGTTTTCTTGAGCTAAAACACCGTGCATTACGTATTTTGGGGTTGCCTCGCCGTTTGCATAAGGTGTCGGAGACCGTCTAACAAATGGCTAAAAGCTTGTCCCCGCCATGGCTCATGCTGCATCTGCACACACAACAAGTTGCAAACTTGCACAGCGTTCAAAACACGAGCACGAGCACAAGTTCAGAGCACCACTCTCCCCTGCCCCTCCTCTCGCTCTCCCTCTCTACACTGTGCTGGTGGCCAATGCCGCGAGCTCCGGGGACCTCACCTTGCCGCCTGCGACTCTGCTTAGCCGCCGCCACCGCCGACGTGGGTGAGTGTCTTCCTAGCCAATCTATTCTTTGGAGGCCGGGACCGGGATACGGCAGTTTCGAGGCCGTCCCGAGCGAGACGCGCGCCGATCTGCGCGGGATCTCGCCCAATTGTGTTCGCCGGCGCTTGACTGGCTTTGCATTGCTGGTGCTCTGTTCTACTTCTACTTCTACTTCCTCGATGCAGAGGCGTACAAACGCAAAATGAGAGGACAGCATCTTTTGGGCGTATGTTGTATACTGATCAGCATCTTATTCAGTTTGCAGACGTGCTCTGTTCCCATCCATCTTTGCAGTTAGCCCACCTGTGATAACTAATCGTAGTGATTAGTTATGTACTAATTACCACGCATACAGTTGCACTGCTGCACACTTGCATCGACCATCATCTCATAGGCGTATGCTGTATACTGATCAGGAGGAGAGAGTGGTGAAGACTGAAGCAGCAGCTGCAGGGAGAGCAGCGCCGCCATGGCGGAGACGGCGCTGGGCATGGCCACCACACTGGTGGGCAGCGCGCTCCGCGTCGCCTCGTCAGCGGCAAGGGAGAAGATGGGCCTGCTGCTTGGGGTGCACGACGATATCTGGTACTTCCTACTACTGTCGCCTGGTAACGGAGGTTTTTCTGTCTACAAAAAGTCAGTTAGAGGCGGCTTAGTAAATTCACATCTGAAAATGGTTCTGAGCCGGCCAGCTCGCATGTATTTTAGAGGCCTCTGAGTGGCAATTTAGCCCGTCTCTAAAAATATGTGTAGCATAATAAATTTTTAATTTTTTTAAATCAAATAGGTTGAAAATAAACTTTATATCAAAGTTGTAGTACTCGAAGACTTTTCCATTTGAAATCATTGAAGCCACAAAAATTTTGTGTAAATTTTTCATAATTTAAAATTCAATATTTTAAAATTTTTCAAATGATTTTAGATAGAGAAATGACTAAAACCATAGTTGTAATACTCATAGCAATCTACAACTTTATAGCTGCCAACTTTTTCATTTAAAATCATTTAGTACATATAAATTCTGATTTAAGTTTTCAGAATTTGAAATTAACCTTTTTTAGCTTTTCAAAGTATCTTGGATGGAGAAACGGCCTAAACTAAAATTGTAGTACTCGAAGATATATGGAACTTTGTAGTTGATGACTTTTCCATTTAAAAAACAGTTAGGGCCTAGAAATTCTGTTTTAATATTAGTGATTTTAAAATTTTAAATTTTCAAACAACTCTAGATGGAGAAACGATCAAAACAAAGTTTTAGTAGATGATATCTGCAACACCTTTTTCATTTGAATTCTTTTAGGGTCCAAAATATTCATTTCAAAATCTGGTAAAGTAAAAACAAAAGGATCTATCTAGTGGGGGCTTCCATGGATTTTTTTTATTATTTTGTAGTTGTGTCAAACTTCAAAATCTTTTATAAAAAATTATGATTAATAATCTGTAAATTTAGGATAAAACTTAAGTGGTTCTACTAGATTATTTGAAATTATCTTTTTGTTACTAGGATCTCAATTTGTGCTAAGCACACTATCATGAGTTTGACAAAATTTGTAGAAAAAAGTGCTAGCACCTACCACATCAAAGAGGTAAATTACAAAAATGCATTTTTGTATTATCAATATTATTGTTCTATTCTATAAATTTGATCAAACTTAGAATAGTTATACTTGGGACAATTCAAAATCACTTATACTTTAGGATGGGGATAGTATTGTTTTATTGTCATGGGCAATGTAACATAAGAAAAATGATTAGTTTCATATTACGCTGCACCTAATTAAATAATAATTACATTCAATTTGGAATGAATGGAATACTTACCACGTTGTTTTCACTCGTTTTAGGTTTCATTTTACATAATGATTTTTCTAGGTAATTTTTAGGTTTTTGCATGATTTCCCCTTGTAGTAAAGCGGCCCTACATGATTGAAAAATATATATTGCCATCTTTGTTTCTGTAAATCCATGTCTATGCTGCCAACATGATTATAATAAATTTTATTGAATTCAAGAGATATATGAAACTATTAGTTTTACATGTTTCCGCAAAAACTAGTCCATCAACCCATGCTCCTCCATAAGATTTTTTTTAAGAAACATGAGTAGGTGTTAGAAGTTCATGGATACATTTGAGCCACAGTTAATCATTTAGCTTCTCTTTGCCTTCTGCCATTTGTTATAGACTTATAGACACAAAGGATTTATCTGGATCTAATAGACTTCAATTATCCGTTGCTATAAATTGTTGGCAAACCATGAAAGTTTAGGCTTATTGGTCTCCGCTTGCATTTAACGTGGGAATGCATGGTGTGAAGCATCAAGCTTGTATTCTTTGAGCTACTTTTTCTTATTTATTATAAATAGCAGAAGTTGGCAATTTAGAATAATATACATGTGTATACTTTGTGTTATTTTTCATAATGGTAGAGGTGGGTAATCTAGAAGAATAGGAATGTAGAGGTTCTTTTCAAGTTATTAGTTAACTATCGTGGAGGAGGCGAGTAGTTTAGATGTAATTTTATGGGTTATTTGATATTATTTAAATAGGTACATAAATGAGTACTTTAGATTAAAAAAATACAAAATTGTTTATATATTTTTATAATGGCAAAGGTAAGTAATTTTGATGGAGATTTAAAGGGCTTATTTAAGGTTTACTTTTGTAATGGCAGGGATGGATATTTCAAAGAAAAGGTTCAATGGCTACTATTGTTAATAATAATGGTTATACAATACATAATTAATGGTTAGATATTTCTGTACCTTTACGAATTATAGGATTCATCTTTTCTCTCAAGCAAATTTCGTGAGGATTAATGTGGAAGCTGCAAAAGAAGCCTTTAATTAAGACTAATAAGATTCACACACCTGCATTGCACATTCTTTGGAACTGGTTTCAAAAGAAAACAAATGATATGCACTAGTTCGAAATATATATATCTTATTAGGATTTTAATCCAAAATATATACATCCTGTTCTTGTGCTTTAGTGGATTGTTGTGTTGCTCATCTTTTGCAAAACTGTGTTTATCGTTGGCAAGATCTGAACTTGCTGGTTCAGGCTTACAGTAGCAACATTGTGACATGGTCTAAAGCAACTTGTAGTTTTCTTATGATGCAAGATGACTGGTAATCCCATTCCCAAGCTTTGAGGTTTTGCAAGGTTTGCCCTTTGTCCTTTGGGATCACTGCACGTTTGCACCAATAGCCTAGAGTGATCCGACCCTGACAGGTTAACAGGCTTGCCAATGTGACAAGAGCCATGACGCTTGTTTGTTGAGGGCAGCCGTGATGGGATTGGCTTTGCGATCCTCTCTGTCCCAAAATAAAAGACGTTACTGCTTTTCGAGAAGTCAACTTTTTTTTTAACTTTAACCAATTATATATAAAAGAATATTAATATTTATAATACATAATTAGTATTGTTAGATAGATCGTTGAATATACTTTTATAATAAACTTATTTGTATATTTAAATATTACACATATTTTCTATAAACCTAGTTAAAGTTGAGAAAATTTGACCTCTACACATCCCATATCGTCTTCTTTATGAGATGAAGGGAGTATCAGCCATCAGGTCTCTACATACAATGGTTTCTCACCAGGTGCCTAAACAAAGTTTTACAAGTTGATTTTTTTTTGAGAAACAGTTTTACAAGTTGGTAATAATAACTTCCTAGTGTTGGGGGAGGCGCCCCGAACAGGCCACCCCGACTGGCGTTTGGCCGTTCACGAACCCCCGTTGTGTCTTCACGGCCGCACTGACCCCTCGCAAGCGAAGGTCTTCCTACGGCATGTTCTTTTAGGGCCCGCGGAAAACAAGGACGAGGCGACAGTGACGCTTGACGGGAGAATGCAGAGCCAACGGAGTCCTGGAGAACCCTCGGCAAGCCCCGCGGCAAGTGGAACCAAAGACGCTCAAGACGCTAGGGTCGCTGGCGGTCAGTAGAACATCCTAACAGGTTAACGCTGGGGGTAGTTGGCTAGGGTATGGGAAGTTACCCCTCTACCCTTAGACAATGTACTGACAACCGGGGGTGCTACGACAACCCTAATGTAATTTTGCTACCATCCTAGGGATGCTCTATAAATATCCTAGGACGCCACTGTTTGGACAAGAGTGAGTTTTTGGGGCAATTTAACGAGCAATTAATCCGCATTTAATTTCACATTTTCCCTTGGATTACCTTCGGTTTGCATCTTACTTAGCTCCGGAGGGGAAACCCTCGTCCGTCCTCCCCCTGCCAGCCTCAAGCGAGGGTGGGAGGCAGGAACGACCCCACACCTAGTTTTCTTGTTCACAACAATTCTTTTTATTTTTTTGAGAATCGCGCAACAACTTACATGTGTAGGAGTAATAACTATTTTGAAGGTGTACAGTAGAACATCCTAACAAGGCCCGACTTCTATCCGAACAAACTGGGCTGTGTCGTTAAAAATTTTGTTCTTGGTTGGATACTGAATAGTAGGCTTCGGTTGGTATGTTGGGCTGATTTCTGTTGTGGGCCGGCCGAGAAGGTCTACTGTACCTGGCTCTTTATGGGCCGGGGCAGTTACTCCCTCCATACTGGTAAAAAATGACGTTTAGGACAGCATTTAGCATACCAAGGAATGATTAATTAGGGTAAAGTTTTCCCTGTCTACCCCTATTAAATACAGCTGTGGCTGCATTCTATACAAGAAAGTTGCACACCCTTACTGGCTAGCGCAGCGGGGGCTGGTGTCTGGTGTTGAGAGCGGTGCGGGGTTCGACTCCCCACTGTCTCCATTCTTTTGTAGTTTTAGTGCATTTTGCATGGCACTGTGCAGCGGCGCATTTTGCATGGCTTGCGCGCGGCCTGGACGATTTCGCGCTGCATGGCGCTTCTACTACTCTAGCCCCGCTTCTTTTTGGCAAAACACGATTTCGCGCTGCATGGCGAGCGGCACAGCGAGCGGCGAGGCGAGTTGGGGCCGAGCACGAGTGGCGCAACGTGCAGCGATGCGAGCTGGTACTCGAGCGGCGCGCGGTTTTAAGACGCAGACGACCACACGAGAGGGCGAGCGTCGCACGCGCGGCGTGAATCGAGGCGAGCGTCCCACGCGCGGCGCTGAGTAATTGCACGCAGAGATCGATGAGCCAGGGGCAAACAAGTCCAGGGGAGGGGCTGCGACGCTAGAACGACGTTTTATCCGCAAACTACGCGAGGAGCCAGGACGTCGTTTTATTTGTATACGGAGCGAGCATGTTTCCTACTTGCAGCCTGATCGGTTGGCTGGTTCGTTTCGTTGCTGGTTCGTGAATAAGTACTGCTAGCTGGTTTGTGTGAGAGAAAAATAATGTTCCGGCTGAAAATTTACGATCGTTTACGACAAGCCACAGCCAAACGAACAGGCTAGAATGTAAGTCTAGCTATAGCCTTACAGCTATACTATCACAGCATATTAGTGAACTCATAGTTAGTACTTATATGCTAAGTTGTTAAATTTTTAGCCCCAGACATAAAATACTTTTTTGGATTTTGCCAGCATACTATTCAGTTTCCTGGAAACGTATTGGCTGTGGAATGCATTAGAAAAAAATGAAGTGTGTGTGTGTATATATATATATATATTCAAAATGCATGCAATACATATTTATTTATCTTTTTCGTTGTCAGGTTCATCAGCGATGAGCTAAAGATGATGCAAGCATTCCTTAGAGCCGCTGATGGAGCACGTGAGAACATTGGGGTGGTGAAGGCGTATTCAGAGCTGATCCGCGATTTGGCCTATGACATTGAAGATAACCTAGAGGAGTTCATGGTCTTCGTCAAGAACAAGAGCCTTATGGAACAACTTCTCAGCTTGCGAGAGCGCCATCGCATTGCTGTCCAGATACGCAGTCTCAAACTAAGAGTCCAGGAGGTGAGCCAAAGGAACATGAGGTACAATGCAATCAAGCTCACACCATCCACCTCCACTGATGTGATAGGTGACACAGAGTTTACCCGGAATTTCACGGCTCTAAATGTTGAGGAATCCCAACTTGTTGGTTTGGATGAGCCGGAGAAGAACATAATGGAATTAATAGGCAAACCGAGGGAATCCATGGAACGTAAAGGTCCAAGAGTGGTATCCCTTGTTGGTATGGGTGGCATTGGCAAGACAACTCTCACGAAGAAGGTGTTTGATAGCAAGGATCTCAGTGACATGTTCACCACCCGTGCTTGGATCACAGTGTCACAGTCATTTGACGAAAAGGAGATTTTTAAGGAGATGGTGAAGCAACTATTTGGAGTTGAGTCATTGAACAAGCTCTTAGAAGATCATCAAGGGCAACTGGTGCGAGAAGTACATCTTGCTGACTACATATCCAAAAAGGCTTCAGGAAACAAGGTACCTTATTGTTTTGGATGATGTTTGGACCATTGATGCATGGAACCGCATTAAGGTTACTTTCCAATATAGTGGTAAGGATGATAGTTGTGTGGTAGTGACTACAAGGAATCATAAATTAGCTGAATACTGTAGTCCCCCATCACACATCCACCAACCTGAATTCCTGGGGAAAGAAGAGGCTAGAACCTTGTTTCTAAAAAAGACAAAGAGAAGTCTTGATGACCTAGAGAAAGGTGACAAAACCAAAGGAATAGTTGAAAAAATACTGAACAAATGTGGTGGACTCCCACTTGCCATTCTGACAATTGGAGCCCTACTTGCCAATAAAGACACAGAGGAGTGGGAGAGTATATACAAGCAACTCCCCTCGGATCTTGCAACTAATCCAAGCCTTGATGCTCTAAGGCGAGTGGTTAGCCTTAGTTACAGCCACTTGCCTTCGCATCTAAAGCCTTGCTTTTTGCATCTCAGTATCTTTCCTGAAGATTTGGAGATTGAAAGAAAACACCTAGTGAATAGGTGGGTAGCTGAAGGGTTGGTAGCAGATGACACAACTACAAGAACCCTTGAAGAAGTTGCTGAAAGTTACTTCTATGAGCTCATCAGCCGGTGCATGATTCAACCATCTAAGTTAGATAATATGGGGAAGGTGAAAACATGCAGAATTCATGACATTGTGCATGATATTGCGGTGTCAATCTCTAAGCAGGAGAACTATGCATTCATACATGGAGAACACACCTCCAACATAGCAACAAGAGTTGGTATCCGGCATCTGTCATGTGTTGCTTGCAGGAAACTGAACATTGCCATGGATTTAAGCTGTGTCCGGTCTTTAACTGTGTTCAGTGAGCCTCCGGAGCTAGCATCCTTACTTTGCTCATCCAAATTCAAGATGTTGAGGATTCTGGATTTAAAACATGCTCAATTTGCGGCAAGCCAACAAGATATAAAATACATAGGGTTGTTGCTACACTTGAAGTACTTGCATTATCCAAAGTCTCCAAATAATATTTATGCACTTCCAAAGTCTATAGGTAATCTGCAAGGTTTGCTGACTCTAGACTTACAAAAGTCAAAAGTTTCGACCCTACCAATAGAAATCACTAAGCTCCGTAACCTCCGCAGCCTTCGATGCAGCAAGGTACGCTCTTATGGTTGTTTCGATACAGATGAATTCAAACCTGGGGAGTGGTTCAAGGATGCCATAGATTATTTAAAGTGTAATGCTTTTGCAACTGCTGACCTGCACATGGCCCTGTCTAGCTGCTGGTCTAATTCATCTGGCATTAAGTTGCCTAGAGGAGTGAGAAAACTAAAAGAGCTACAGATACTAGAGAGAGTGGATATCAAGCGAACAAGTCAGAAAGCAATCAAGGAGCTAGGGGAACTAACTCAGCTGAGGAAGATAGCTGTGAGAGGGAGAGGGGCCTCCAAGAAAAACTGCAGGGCATTCTGTGAGGCTGCGCCGAAACTGTCCACCCTCCGTTCCCTCAATGTGAGTACTAAGGAGTTCCGAAAAACAGCTGAGGTGCTTGATAGGTTGGTTGCTTTTACATCCCCTCTCCCCTCTCTTGAGCGTCTCAAATTGAAGGGGCGTCTTCAGGAGATACCTGGTTGGGTTGGTAAATGTGAGAACTTGGTGAATGTTGAATTGAAATATTGTGAGCTCAAGGGATTGGAGGCCTTAGCTGAACTGCCCAACCTGGTACAACTTCGTCTTAAAGAAGATGCATTCAATGCAGAGAATTTAGTGTTCCGCAAGCATGGATTCCCAAAGCTCAGGATCTTACTCATACTGTCTCATACTGAAATGGCACTGAGGGAGGTGACCTTTGAGCAGAGCACCTCGCCTAACATGGAAACAATACACATCGGGAGATGCAATTTGACAACAGGGATCAATGGTATCAACCATCTTCCAAAACTCAAGAAGATTTTTATTAGGTTCTGTCGTTTGGGGAAGCAAGATATGCTACGGGAGGAAGTGGAGAATCACACGAATCACCCTGTGCTGCAAATGTCTAAGGTTTACAAACCATGGGAGAGCTGGCAGTCTTGATCTGCCTTCACGTCACCACCTTCCCCATTGTCATCGGCAATCCACGTCAGCACAGCCGCAGCTCCTGCACATCATCATTGGCATCCTCCCTTTGTAATCGCCAGTCTGTTCAATTGCATGCATCTCCTGCCGTGAGAACTGCTTTATTACCAATTTGTATAATTGTGCCTTGTGCTTGGTTACTCTTTCTGTGTGTAATAATAATCTGGACAACAGACTTGTTGCGTTCCATTGGATGTATGCCCTTTAATAATAATGTAAAAAGCCATATAACTGCTATTATGTCTCGAGCAACTTATGTAGATTCTGGTGTCTTTTACAGCTTTACAGGACTGAAAACCGCTACTAAAGTAGATTTTATTAGCTGTAACTTGACATTGAAATGGCAAACGTATCTTCTCGTAGGCAAGTTGTAACTAGGCTCTGCTGCTGCTTCTGAAGAAGCGCGGGAGACTGAAGATGTGCATTGAAGGAGTTCTCGGTCCAGTGTGCGTATATCTCGGGCTCAGGGTGGACCGGTGGAGTCAGCTCATGTAAGTGGCAGGCAGGCATGCATGTGTGATGTGTCTTGCTCTCGTATGCGTGAGCCGGAGGGAGATGAACTGAGAGAAACTAATCCAATCATTCATTTTGCTTTCAGAGAAGAGAGGGAAAGGATGTAAATTTAAAACCAACAAGTAGTGGCTTGGGCTTTAGAGATCTCAAGTTGTTCAACCAAGCCCTGTTGGGTAGGCAGGCCTGAAGGCTCATTGAACGGCCATCCTGTCTCTGTGCGTGAGTTTTAAAATCTAAATATTTCACTGGTAATTTATAGGACGCAACTTTCCCGAGCAGCCAGTAGCCTATCTAGAGAGCTATTGTCCATGGCCAGAGTTTTTTTTTTTGAGAGAGAGAGAATGTCCATGGTCTAGAGTTACTAATGTGGAGGATAGGCAAGGGCGATCAGATTCGCATTTGGAGAGATCCGTGGATTCCTCGCATCCTCGGTCGTGGTCACTACGTCCGTCTGGGAAGAAAAGACCGAACAGGTTTAGGGCCTTGTTTGATGCACCTGTGTTTACTTCAATTCATATTTGTTGGAGTGGATTGGAACGTAACTTAATTTAATTTTACTTCAATCTACTTCAACACATATGAACTAAGATGAATACACATACACACTGACGGATCTACAGGGTATGCCGTATATGACACGGCATACCCTGCGATCGAGCCATGCGTGGCATGCGTATTGCACCTCGCGCGCTTGGAACGGGCCGTCGCTCGCACGAGTAGATTCACCTGCCTGCCTCACGGTCACCTACGACTCGATAGAAGAGACACATCGCATGCAGGGTCAGCCCACAAACGAATACTCCCTATTGGAAGGACACATGGAGTACATACTACAGTTGCGGCGGTGTTATATTTGTATATATTGTAGCGAGATTGATCAATATCAATATCACGTGAGTGCGAGTTATATTCGTATTGTACTTCATGTAATTTTTCAACTTTGTACTCCTACATCAACGCCGTAGTTTCGCATGACACGGTCTCCTAAATTATGTTGTAATCATTAATTTATTTTATATTATATTATTGATATTTATGAACTTATGATAATTGAATAGTACATTTAATTACAAATCTAACAGTATTAGAATTTTTCAATTTGCATTATAATAATTCAAATTTGTTAGTCAAATATTGGTCAAAGATATTAAAATTCGATTCTTGATATACGTGTGCGCCTTATAAAAAATAGAGGAACTAATCTATAAATTGAAGACTTATCATGTTTTTTCTTACTTATATGCCGAATTGAGTAGCAAATTTTTATAACTATTTACTGAGTTGGTAAATAGATTTTATCGAAATACATGTGAAATTTTGGTATGGCATATCCTTTAACAAAATCCTAGATCCGCCACTGCACATGCATCAAACAAGGTCTTAAGTGGGTGAGCCAACTCATAAACCAGGATAGACGTGAGTGGAGAACTGATTTGGTCCTGGACCTGTTCAGGCCTCATGATGCAGATCAAATTCTAAAGCTGAAGATCCCGATGAGCCATCAGATGATTTTTTAGCCAGGCATTATGAGAAGCATATGGGTTATATATATTCAGTTCGAAGTGCATATAGGCCAGCACTGGCATTACAGCAGCAGGAAGAGCAAGGGGCCCGACAATCTTCCTCATCTTTGCAAGGGTCTCGACCTGGGTGGAAAATGTTCTGGCGGATCCAACCATGAGCTTGCACAGCTGTAACAGAGTTATCTACGAAAGAAAAAAAAAACTCGACCTGCGGGGGTATGACGGCCCCCAGGGCATTATAAGAAGAAGATGATCTTCTCACACAGATCGAGAAAAACCTCCGAATCCCCGCCTCCAGCCTGACGCAGGAGGTACCGTAGCCCTGTGAGAAAGGGCCTCTAGTCTAACTGGCTAGAGCAACCCGGCGGTACTCCTTAGGTCCTGGGTTCGACTCCCCGTAGGAGCGGATTTCAGGCTGAGGTTAAAAAAAAAAGAGTTATCTACAAAAGGACAGAGTGTAACAGGGCAACTCGATCATGAGCTTGCACAGCTGGCGAAAAGGACAAGGCATTCAACCATCTTGTGTTTTAATTCTCCAGCTTGTATATAGCATATTTTTGACCGAAGCTTGTGTATAGCATATTACTGCGCACGATTGTAACTTTATTTCTGAGCAGTATTAAAAGGTTCTCTTTGTCGCAAAAAAAACAAAACAAAACATACCTCTTGTCTAAAGTTCTACCACTAATTTTTTTTACAACAATTCAGCCCCTCTTAAACTCACAAAATATTTCTTAAAAAAATCAAGTTTGTATTTCGTAAACTTATTAGCAAGATCAAACAAGAGCAACCCTCCATGCTTAGCCCTAATAAATAAATAAATAAAAAGAAGGCAAAATAAGCCAAGAATAAACAAAGCTTAACCACATGATTAGGGGGCTAATGACGCTGCTCCTTTCCTACTAGTTGTCCTATCAAAGCTTAACCATGTGAACTGATTCTTTTAGTTTACAGGACTTTTGTCTGTTTCCTCTTTATTAATGTCTTTTATCTCTCCTGTCCATGTGACCTACCCGTTTTAACAATTTGCAGACCATCATCGATTGCATAACAAATGGCTAATCCCCGCCATGGCTCATGCTGCATCTGCACACACAACAAGTTGCAAACTTGCACGACGTTCAAAACACGAGCACGAGCACAAGTTCAGAGCGCCACTCTCCCCTGCCCCCTCCTCTCGCTCTCCCTCTCTACACTGTGCTGGTGGCCAATGCCGCGAGCTCCGGGGACCTTACCTTGCCGCCTGCGACTCTGCTTAGCCGCCGCCACCGCCGACGTGGATGAGTGTCTTCCTAGCCGATCTCGGCCTTGTTGAGATTGTAAGTTTTTTTACTCTCTTTTTATCATATCAAATCTTTGGACACATATATGGAATATTAAATGTGGATAAAAAAAATAACTAATTACACAGTTTGATTGTAAATTACGAGACGAATCTTTTGAACCTAGTTAGACCATGATTGAACAATAATTGTCAAATACAAACGAAAATACTACAGTGCCAAATACTGATTCCTAATCCTGATCTGCCCTATTCTTTGGAGGCCGGGACCGGGATACGGCAGTTTCGAGGCCGTCCCGAGCGAGACGCGCGCCGTTCTGCGCGGGATCTCACCCAATTGTGTTCGCCGGCGCTTGACTGGCTTTGCATTGCTGGTGCTCTGTTCTACTTCTACTTCCTCGATGCAGAGGCGTGCAAACGCAAAATGAGAGGACAGCATCTTAAGGGCGTATGTTGTATACTGATCAGCATCTTATTCAGTTTGCAGACGTGCTCTGTTCCCATCCATCTTTGCAGTTAGCCCACCTGTGATTACTAATCGTAGTGATTAGTTATGTACTAATTACCACGCATACAGTTGCCGTAACACCCTAAAATTTACAAGATTTTAAAATAGGTGAATTTAATTTATTTATACATTTTGTGAGCATGCAAATTTTTTAAAAAAATTGTTAAAATTAAAATCAAATACAAGGTAGCAACATGTTTTAGCATACATGCCGTTGCATTTTATTTATTGTGATGAGTGGATTTTTCTAAAATTCAAAATAATTTAAATTGTTTTTAAAAAATGGTTTTCAAATAGCATTAAAAAAAAAGAAAAGGAAAAACTTTTCTCCCTCTCTTCTAGCCTAGCTGGCCCAGCAAGCCGCTCGGCCCAGCTCCTCCTCTCCCCCGCGTGCCCCGTGGCCTAGCTCGTCCCGCGCGGCCTGCTTCTTTCCCGCGCACCGGCCCAACCCTTCTCGGCCTCCGCTCTTCTATCCGCAGCCTTCATCACGCGGCCCGCTTCCTCGCTTCGGTCCAGCATCGCCCACGCCGCCTTGTTTCGCTGACTGGTAGGGTCTACGCGTCAGTCATCGTCTTCCCCGCACGTGACTGCCCCGGACTCTCCGTCGCTGCGCCATGGGCCCGACTCCGCTCTGCCCACGCCTCGCCGTTGCCGTGACTCCCAAGCATCCCGGCCCTCATAAATAGGACGCCGTGCTGCCCGCATCGCCCCCGCATAACCCAAAGCCACCGTGCTCGCTGAATCACCTCGCTTGAGCTCGCAACCCTAGCCTACGAGTCGCCGTCACCCTGCCATGCGCAGTGCGCCATCGCCGTAAGCTCCGCGCCACCGAAATCCACCTTGGTAAGTTCGTCTCGCCGTTCTCTCTCTTTCCGTTCCTTTCCCGTGCAAAACAATGGCCCGTAGGCTCCTCCCCAAGAACACCGTCGTGTCGGCCATGGCGTCACCGCCGCCAAACCTCGCCACCGGCCGGCCACGTTTTTTTCTCTCTGTGATCTATTTTCGTCCGTCCAATCAAGGATCAAGGGCCAGGATTAGATCGTACCCCTTTGGCCAATAGTTTTTCAAAAGAGACCCTCGGCTTTTGAATAATCTAACCCGCAGTCCATGGCGCACATCCAGAATACGTTTT